GCTCGGAAACTATTTTGGAAAAACATTCGGTGGGGGGGGGGGGGCAAGTTGACCCCTACCCGAGCGAGTGTTAAGGATATTTTGGCAATTTTCTTATGTCACGTTTGGGTTCCTAGGTCACAATTTACATGTGTATTTGTCACACACATTACCAGTGTATCGAAATCTGATTGTAAGATGAATGTATGCGCCAATTTCAAGCACTATCTTCATCTTATTCCACATGTCGAAATCAAAATTACACAAGTCACACGCGTCCAACACATCAACACGATTAGAGAACGAGAGAACACACAGGATGTTTTGAACCCCATCTCCCGTCAGTCAGCTGACTAACCTCCGTAGGAGAAGTCGCGACACTCGCCCTCCTTTAGGTCGAAGTGCCAGCGGCGCACCGGGTCCCGGCACGGCCCCATCTCGGAGGGCAGCACGCACGACCAGGGCGACGGAACGTCTGAGCACGGCCGGGCGTCAGGTCACGGGGTCAGCGCGGCCGGGCGTCAGGTCACGGGGTCAGCACGGCCGGGCGTCAGGTCACGGGGTCAGCGCGGCTGGTGCGTCAGGTCACGGGGTCAGCACGGCCGGGCGTCAGGTCGCGGGGTCAGCGCGGCCGGGCGTCAGGTCACGGGGTCAGCACAGCGCGAGCGCCGGCCGCCGCCGCAGAGCGCTAGAATGCGGCGAATAGCGGTGCGCAGCCGCCCAGCCGTAACTAACTACGCTGGCGCCCAGTGTCATATTTTGTGGTTTAGTTATTAACTAATTGTAGGATAATGAAAGTGTCATTTACATGCATGCCATAATTTGGGTCTAATCGTGCGCTAAATGTGTCACAATTGTCTGATGTTCACTATTGGTGGGCAAAGATGTAGATCATTTAGTTATATCGTACGATGTTTAATTCGAATGAAGTAGTGCACTACGATGGTTCAATGGCAAGCCATGTTTCGAAAAATAGACTGCCGCTTTGGAAAATTTTGTACCTACATATACCATTGATCTATGCATCTGAACAACGTACCAGCAACGAAAGCCGTGAGCATGACTCATGAAAACACATCAGCCTGCCTATCATGCATCAGCACCATGCCAACTCCAAGCGTGCGAGTAAGCTTTCACCGCAGCATAAAATTATTGAAAAAAAAACGCTGCTCCAAACCCGGACACTTAGTCGGAAAAGGCTTGCGCATATATGGAGAGTGGCATATGGTACATACTGCAGCAGCTATACTCACCTTTGCTGAAGTCGTTACCATTTTAACATTTCGCACTTGCATCATGCACATATCATCTTACGCAAAAATACGCACTTAATCACACTAAAAGCCTGCCACACCTGGGCCCCCTTGTCACACCTGGGTGACCTGACCTGCCGATGACTTTGACCCGTTCCGTTGCCATGCCAACAGACCTGAGGCGGCGCGGGAACAGCTCAGCTGACACTCGGTGTAGGACCTGTAGATGACGTCCAGACTACAGCTGGAACACGGGTCTGGCCGGCACTCCTGGGAGCGTTCATCGCAGTAGAACTCGGCGGCCCTGCCGGGTCGGCGGCGCACGTCAGGGCGGGGCTTCGTTCCGGGGGCGGTCGGCGGCGCACGCCAGGGCGGGGTGACGCCACGGGGGCGGTCGGTGGCGCACATCAGAGGGGGGGGGGGGGGGACGGCACGGGGGCGGTCGGCGGCGCACGTCAGGGCGGGGTGACGTCACGGGGGCGGTCGGCGCCGCGCGTCAGGGTGGGGTGACGCCCTGGTGGACGGCCGGAGCTCTGACGAACAAAGTTCTTCGAGGGTCAAACGACCTCTGCGGATTATGTGGGTCGAATTAGGGACATGAGAGTTCCTTTGAGCTTGATCACTTGTGTACTGCTCTGTGACGTATAGTACGCAGCGTCCCGTGCGTGGCACTGCCACAGGACTTTGAACGGTCAAAATGCAATGTATATGACAAATGCCGTCCAAAGGCTGATTATTCGGTGTTTACAACGTGGTGTTTTATTTATAAAACTGTCAAAGGGTTCATTGGTTAGTTGCGTTTTTGGGTAATTTCATGACATGTTATCTTTACTGGCCTTGTCGCAACGTCCCGGATTGTCATTCAGGTTCATAGTCAAGTTCAGGATCCTTTATCCATACCAGGTTCATGATCCTTTAATAGCCGAGATCCCAAGCAGCACAGCCTTCCATCTAAAAAGTGAGTACATTATGCGATTGGTACACGACTACCGTTGCTGTCACCTCATTACGTGAAGCCCCATGAAATGGAACCTTACGAAAGGTCCCATTCAAATCCCTCAATCATGTCTGCTATGATGTCTTGTAGGTGCAAAATTTACGTTTTCCCCGAGTCAAAATCTACATATTTTTAGAATTGCTAGTGTCTATCAGCCCAGTTGAGCCTTGTGAGGCTATACATAACAAGCTGCATGATGCT